ATTGGAAGAATTGTTACATTATTCTCGAGTTACTTCAAATATGAAGAGAAAAAATTAATTTCTGTTTAACCAGGCGTTCTTCCAAGCAGTGCGGAATATTTTGATTGAATGTTTGCAAGTTTGTAAGTTCATTGAAAAAATTCTTACATTATTCTCGAGTTACTCTAATTATCAAGAGAAAAAATTAATTTCTGTGTAACCAGGCGTTTTTCCAAGCAGTGCGGAATATTTTTATTGAATGTTTGCAAGCTTGTAAATTCGTTGGAAAAATAGTTACATTATTCTCAAGTTACTCCAATTATCAAGAAAAATATTAATTTCTGTTTAATTAGGCGTTCTTCCAAACAGTGCGGAATATTTAAATTTAATGTTTGCAAGTTTATAAGTTCATTGGAAAGATAGTTACATTATTCTCAAGTTACTCCAATTATCAAGAAAAATATTAATTTCTGTTTAATTAGGCGTTCTTTCAAACAGTGCGGAATATTTAAATTTAATGTTTGCAAGTTTGTAAGTTCATTGGAAAAATAGTTACATTATTTTCGAGTTACTCCAATTATCAAGAGAAATATTAATTTCTGTTTAACTAGGCGTTCTTTCAAACAGTGCAGAATATTTTTATTGAATGTTTGCAAGTTTGTAAATTCATTGGAGGAATTGTTACATTATTCTCAAGTTACTCCAATTATCAAGAAAAATATTAATTTCTGTTTAATTAGGCGTTCTTTCAAACAGTGCGGAATATTTAAATTTAATGTTTGCAAGTTTGTAAGTTCATTGGAAAAATAGTTACATTATTTTCGAGTTACTCCAATTATCAAGAGAAATATTAATTTCTGTTTAACTAGGCGTTCTTTCAAACAGTGCAGAATATTTTTATTGAATGTTTGCAAGTTTGTAAATTCATTGGGAAAATAGTTACATTATTCTCGCGTCACTCCAATTATCAAGAAAAATATTAATTTCTGTTTAACCAGGCGTTCTACACAGTGCGTAAAATTTTTATTTCGTACAAAAATCTGCGCACGAGCACATTTATTCATTCGTTTCATGGCCTATTAACTTCGCTATATTCGTATAGAATTTACATTACGCAGGCTTGAAATTAGATTTAGCATGAACGAGAACTTCTTTCCATTCACGTGCGAATTCCTTGCGCGGCAAATTGATTTATTATCGCGGCAATTTATTATCGTCGTAAGTAAATCAGCTCGTAGAATCGAGCAGGGAATCGCGCGACGAACTATGATAATAATCGCGTTATCATTCCACGGAAACCGTCGTGCGCAAATATTTGAGGTTCCCGGCGCGTGTTCTCTCGCCCGCCAGATATAAGGATGACGCGTTTTCAAAGACGCGTTCAACTACCCCGCGACGATGCAACGTCATTAACGGGGTACATACGTCGCGACGGAAGCGTTTTGCGCGGTGCACTGCGCGCGCTATAGGAAACTGCACGTGCCGAGTTCGTTGCTATTGACGCGGTGGCTAACCCACTGACATTTCCACAAAGACTTTTCAATGACTCGGTTGTGTTACTCGAACGACTTCCCCAGCGGCTCTACAACCCTTCCAGCTGCTGGACCCATCGGTTTCTTCACAGAGGAGCGAACTGAGTTGATCTTTGTGCGTTCGTGCTACGCACAAATTTCTAAAATACGTGGAAACGCCCGCGGTTGCCGCGATTAATTTATTTCTAAAGAAATCTCCGAGTGGAGGATAGGAATATTTACTCGTCACTGGCCGGCGGAATTTATGCGTTTATGAAAAAAAAAAAACAAAATTTGTAGGTACAGAAAACATTGGAGAGACAATGACAAGATTTTAAGAATGCTGCTATATTATTTTTATTGAATTGTATTCAGTTATGGGAACAACTTTAATACTTTTATTTATTTTATATTTAATTTTATTTGATACTCTTTATTTAATACTTTATTTTTATACTTCATTTAATACTTTCAATTAGAACTTCCATTTAATTAAAGTAGCTGTAAAATATGTTTTCTCGGTAAAAACAATAACAATCAATGTATTTAACAAAATACATTATCGCATGCCTTCACGATTATATTATGTATATCAGATGGTAATTAAAAATCTATTTGCTAGATTGATTTTTGTATTCAACCTATTTGTTGAAATTCAACAATCTTCAACTCTTTTTCAATCAATTTTCAATTCAAAATGAAAACAGACTACTATTTCGCTTTAGTTTGTTACAATCGAGGTAGACAGTTTCTATTTTGCATAAACTACTTGTCATTTTCGTTTGTAAAACATCCGCGAAAGTAGTAACGATAACATCAGAATCGACGCGATCCACAGGATGCTCCTTGGACAGATTGATAAAACGGACAAAGAATACGTTCCGTCCAGGTGGACAGAAGTCCGAATAATAGAGATTTCGGGGAAGGAAGGTCCAAGCTGGGTCCCGTGTATACATCGACGCGTTTCAGTCTCGGAAGATTATCCGGAGGAAGGGAGCCAGGTCATTTCTGACCTGCACCAAAATCCTCCATTAGCGTATTTCGGAATCACTTTCGAATTTTGATCTCGCACTTCTTTTTTTCCACAGAATGATGCCACTGGGAATTATCAGAAAACTTCAAATAATTACGTAGACTAGACTAAACGACGCGAGTGTAAACTGCTTCGTCAGAAATACAGTAATATATAATATATAATATAATATAATATATAATACAGTAAACAGTCTCTAACTGACGCTCAGATTGTGCAGAAAAATGGACAATTTGGGAAGAGGAGATACGATTGTTCGAGCCTTGCAATATATTATAATTTTAATATTATAATATTATATAGTATTATATTATACTATATTATAGTATTATATTATATTATAATATTACAGTATAATATTATACTATATTATAGTATTATATTATATTATAATATTACAGTATAATATTATACTATATTATAGTATTATATTATATTATAATATTACAGTATAATATTATACTATATTATAGTATTATATTATATTATAATATTACAGTATAATATTATACTATATTATAGTATTATATTATATTATAATATTACAGTATAATATTATACTATATTATAGTATTATATTATATTATAATATTACAGTATAATATTATACTATATTATAGTATTATATTATATTATAATATTACAGTATAATATTATACTATATTATAGTATTATATTATATTATAATATTATAGTATTATATTATACTATATTATAGTATTATATTATATTATATATTAATTGTCCATTTTCGTGAACAATCCGAGCGTCAATTAGAGAGACATTACCGTAGCCGTCATGAAACGACGAACAATTTCGCTCCTATATTACTTCTAATATCAAAATATTCAATCTCGTTTCTACGAGAAGATTGACTTGGAAACGCGCGTATTTCCCTCTTCGCGCACGAAATCAAAATATTCTCAGTTGCAACCGGCACGCGTTCGAGAGACAAATATTTGAACGGAGAAAACGCGGGCGTCCCGTCTGAAATATCATTCGACGGTCGTGCACGACAGGTTAAACGATCTCCGAAGTATTTTTTCAGCGAACGTTAGCCAGTGCATTCTGCGCTTCGGTAAGCGGAACTGAACGAGAACGGTACATCCTACGATTTGTTGCAAAAAGTCCTCGGCTACGCAATCCGCTCGCGCAGCGGGACCGTTCTCAAAGGATCCTCCTCCTCCTCCTCCTCCGTGCAAAGGACGTGTACCCGCGAAGAGAGCACCGAGGCGAACGGAACGAGAGAAAGGACCTTTATCGAGAGTAGCGACGCATTCGTGGCCGACCGTCGGACAGCCTCGCGCGAGACTTCGTTTCGTCAACGTGCGAAGAGATAATGGGCTGGAGAGAATAACCTTATCTCGCGACAGATAGTACGATTTAATTATCAGCGCAAAGTCCGCCTCTGATGAATCTCGTGTAATTGTCCGTGAAACTATCACGTTGTACCGGGTGGAAATTAGAAACGAGCGGCCGGGAACCTTGAGCGACGCGGAGATTCAAGGATGGTATCATTCGCGACTAAGAAATTAGTTTCACACCGATGCTGGTAGCTTCATTAGCTAAAACAGAGATGCTACATCGTATAGTGTCCCTTGATGCATTTAACTGTCAATTTGTGGATGCTTCTGCGAAATTCGTTGCCTTTAATTAATCGAGAAGAGATCAAATCTTGGTAAAGGAACTCGCGTTTATCGTACTTTTTGTAACAGCTTTTTATGGGTCTTATTTATAATATAATATATATATTTAATATTATTATAATATTATTACTATAATATAATATTATTATATTAAATTAAATAATATATATATATATATATATATTATTTATATTATTTACAATATAATGCATATATTATATATATTATTTATAATATAATAAATTTACAGTTTATAATGTCTGTACTTGCATTTAGAATTGTACCGCATTTTCTGCTTCACCGTGCCATTTTGAAATGAAATTAACGGCGGTAAGACTTTATCATCACTAACCTCTTTTCCAGCACATTATTCTTCCAATTCAAATATTACTCCTCTCATAATTATTGTTTCATCAATTGATAAAATCTAACGGTGGGTCCGGATGGACCCGTCACCGCAGGCTGGAGCCACCCTCGACAGGCATCTCGAAATTTAAATCGCCTCCGTAATATCGAAAGAACAAAGCAAAATATCCGGAGAACGTTTGAGAGATTCCGCGAGATAAATGACCGCTGCTATAGAAAATACAACATGATCGATCCGCGCGAGCATAAACTATCCGGAACGTGTTTCACTTTACTTGTTGCAGCAACAATGCTGCAAGCTACACATATGTGCTTGAACCGAAAATAAAACCGAAGCGGCCGATTCCGTTCGCCGTCCGTTTGTAAATGCTCCGAGAATTTGTTCAACCTGTTGCCGAACGAAAGAAAATTCTCCCCGGGCTCGATGTAAAAATGTGGAAGATCGACGGCGGCGTGTAAACGTACCTTGTCGAGGCACTTGAGCTCCTCGATCGGGTAGACCGTTTTCTCGCAGCGGGCGCACGTCTTGCTCATCTTCTGCTTCTTCTTCCTCTCACTCCTCTTCGCCGTGGTGTCTCTCCGTCGGTCGTTCAAGGCGCAGTTCCGCGTACGTGTGTATCTCGGGGCCCCGTCGTCCTCACCGAACACTGCCGCGTACGTAAAAAGGAACACGTGCAAACCACTAAGGACACATCGGCGCGGCCCCAAACGCGTCGCTTCCGATCCTGGGAAATATTGACGGGCTGATGGCGATCGGTTCTGCGATCGTTCGCGGTGCTCGCTTGCGGGACAACTAGCTGCGGAAAAATCCACGCCAACAGAAACGATCGGGACGCACGGGTGCCACAGAGCCGCACCAAACTGCACTGCCCTCTCGTCCTCGTCTAGCCACAAAAACTCCTTGAGTGACAGTAATGGTGGGGTACCGCGCTGGTCAAACGACCGTCTACGACTATCTCCGATTGAAACTTTCGCGTGTTTTTCTACCCTCTACGTCTCAAAACTGCTCTAAAATCGGCTTTTCAATGTCCACTGTAACGCGAGCTCGGTTTTTATGCCGTTCGAAACAATTGCAACGTATGCTTGTCGTCGCTAAACTTGACCATCCACGCGCAGCTGCGTCGGTAACGCAGGGCGCCTGGAGAATTCTGGGTAAGTTTGAAAGCTTGAATATGGTTTATGGAATAGAATTTTTGGATTTTGGAGTTTTAGGACGGTTAGAGGGTAGTGTGGGATTTCTTTGTTGGTCGGGCGAATCTACGGAGGAAGATTTGGAGAATTTGGAGGAAATATTTTGGGTGAGAAGCGTTTGAACTGGAGGAGGGATTGGCGCACCACGCTAATCAATGGAATAATGCGCGATGTAAGAACTTATTGATATTGCTATTTTTGTGGACTGGAGGTTAGGTAGAATTGTTGAAAAGAGTGTATATTGTTGTGGTTATAGATTTTTAATGAACGTCGCGCTGAGAAAGGCGGCATTTAAGAATTTAATGGATCGATAAAGTTGTCTCTTACTATACGAATGCAGAAATGATATAATTATGTGTATTTTTTTTATAGTTGCTTTCTTAAATTTAATGTACGTATGTTGTACTTCAGTCTGTAATGAGTAACATGTTACATTTCTTATTATTTTCTCCTTTTTTCGTTATCAAAGTTTAGCGAAGGCATCTTCTGTTGTCCTCTCTGCAACCAAATTTTCATTAACATTTTCATTAACATTTTCATTAATATTTTTATTAATATTTTCCTTAATAAACACATAAATTGCAATAGTAGCCTTATGATATTTGTTAAGCTGCGTTCACGTAATTTGTTTCTTTTTTATAAAATATCGATGCATTAGATTTTACTGAACAATTTAGTCACCCTGGATTATTTGTTTATGTCCTAATTTTGCCATAATTAATGATTTTCGATGACCTTGCATTGTTCATACGTGGACGATAATGGCACCTCTTGCGGAGATACACAGAAGCTCCGTTCGAGATCCGTACAGCGCCAATCGATGCAATGGTAAAACAGAATTACCGACGCAAACGCTCGCCACCGACAGTCGGTAATTCGGCTAACAGTTTAAGCGTTTTACCACTGCACCAATTGACGTGGTACGAACTTCGACTGGAGCTTCCCGATTTCACCGCGTGAAACGCCACTTGTCACAAATAGCGCTATTTTTAAATATCCTGGTACAGATTATTCGTTTTTCGCAACAGGGCGGTCAGTGGTTAGCTTTAGGGAACTCAAATTAATGCAGATGAAGCATGCTTCAAATTACACCGATTTTCGAAACTAGACAAATTCGAAATCACATAAAAAATATATCGATAAATCCCGATCAGAAGATCGGAGATAAAATTATCTAGTTTGAAGGGTCACTTCGAATCGATTTTAAGACGTGTTCCCGTGGGAATGTTGAAACTTTCGAGGACTCAAATTAAAGCTGGAGGACCCCGCGTTGCGATAGCCTCAATTAAGATCACGACATAGTTCAACAGCTAATTAAACGGGCCTCCCAATCTCACATTCGAGTCTTCGACTGTTCGTTACTAGCTAAATTCGAATGAATAAAATATTTAAAAAAGCAACAAACTAAATACGATACATTTTTACTAAAAAAAACAAACAAGCGGACCAAATGCAGCGACAAATATTTCCAACGACCTCTCGTAAAATCCTCGATCAACATCACTTTCGCCCTTTCAGGAACTGATAAACGACGCTGAAGTCCTTGTCCGAAAATCCCTGCGATATAAGCGTCCTAAAGATCTGATGCGCTATAGATCCCAGGGGAATGGTGGCGTCCACTTTAGCAGCGGCGGCCTGCGCCAGTCCCAGGTCCTTCGCCATTAAAGTTGCACCGAAACCACCCTGCAATGAAACCACAGCTAGCCACCGCGCTCTCTGACCGGCCAAGAAAATCTGTCCGGCGAAGTTTGCCGCGGAAACCGGCGAAATACAGAGGTTCGTTAATATTAGAAAGCCTAAGCGGCCGAGCTCGTACCTCGTAATTCTTCGAGCTGGGAACGTTGTCGAGGATCCCGGGAACGGGGTTGTATAATTCCGAGGACCAACACCTGCCGGAACTCGAGTTCACGATGTCGGCCAACACCTTCGCGTCCAGACCCAGCCTGCAACGCGATCAACGCTTAATCAAACGGCTCCGATCGAACCCGCGATCTACGCGATCGATTCTTTCCGCGACTCGCCTTTCGCCGAAGTTGAACGCTTCCGCCGTGCCGATCATGCTGATGCCCAGCAGCATGTTGTTGCAAATCTTCGCGGCCTGGCCCATGCCTACGTCCCCGCAGTGAACCACCCTCGCGCCCATCTTCGTCAACAGAGGCTTCGCTAATTCCAGGTTCTCCTTCGATCCTCCGACCATGATCGTCAACGTGCCGTCCTTGGCTGCGTTCACACCTGCGCGAAAGTTCAAGGTCGTAGCTTAGATGGATGTCTAGTTCGAAGATAGTCGGATTAAGGTGCCTTGTCAACCCTTTCCTTACGGCAGCTCGCTCCGCTGGAGTGACGCCACTGAACAGGGCGCCGCGCCGCGATGTGTGCACTTTGCACGTCGGTAGTTTTCGATGTTCGGACGGCGTCTTTCAACGCCACTTTGCGATTGTCTTGTATGTACACTTTTTTAAGAGCTACGTAACAACTGTTTCATCGTATTATATGAAAAATATATAATATATATATTATATATATTATATTATATTATATATTATGTATTATATTATATATTATAATATATTATATATATTATATTATATTATACGTATATTATATATATAATATATAATAATATCGTATGTGAATATTAAACCTTTGCACTCGAGCGGTGACTCTGAAGCACCACTAAAATTGTTGCACACGTTCCAAGATAATTGTTATATTAACCCTTAGCGCTCCGAAGGCTCCGCTACGGAGACATTTGTCATTTGTTCCGTAACTCCGAAGGCTCCGCTGCGGAGCCAAATGATTTTAGCATACGTTATCGTCGGCGTTGGCAATTGTTATCTGTAGTTAAAACGTGCTTCACGTTTGCTGTAGTTAAGACGTATTTCATTTTGAAGAGTTAGAAGACATTGTAAAAGACAATGTTGGTTATGATTCTGACGCTTCGAGTAGTAGTAGCGAAATTATACTACCAAAGAGACGAAGAATGAGAATTATTGAAAGCGGAAGCGAAGATTCGTTACAAGACTTGGATAAATGGCGCGATGTTACGGAAGAATTACATATTCCAGATAGAATACCTTTTAGTATATTGCCACAGGTCATTGAACCGCAAGTTCCTACAAACGTTGAACAGCCGATGCAATATTTTAAATTATTTCTCACGGACGAATTGGTAAATGAAATTATAAAGGAAACCAACGATTACGCGGAAAATGTTCTAAACTCGAAAGAAATATCTAGTAACTCTATTTGGCAAAGCGAATACTGTGACACTTGACCAAGTAAACCTAGAATGCACATGGGAGATTGTTACCAAAGATATCGCACCATGGTGAATTACAAAATTTAAAATTTATCTTTTGTTTACAATAGGAAAATGTATATTTATAAAATAGATAAAATCAAATGCATTCGCATGGACGTGTAATCTTTTCCGCTGAAAATAAGACTTCCTTTATCTCAGGCGCTTTGCTCCAAAAATGTGCCGGAGTTGCTGGTAGTACTCGAGAAACAACGCGCGGAGCGCTAAGGGTTAACAAAGTTTAGATTTAAAAATTTGTTGAAAGTATAACTGTTGTTACGAGTCACCGTAAGACTCAATTTTATACGCATAAAATGCACTTTGTCATACAAAATGGGAATACTATAAGTTAGAAAAATCGATTTAGATTTACAGTTAAAAATGGCTTCGAGTGCAAAGGGTTAAGTTATCTACACATTTAGTTAGCTCTATTAACAGATCGTCGCGCGAACGCCGATTACGGTCAGCATCCCTACACACGGGTCGTCTCGCGGCCGCCGATTATAGTCAGCACCCGTAACGAAAGGGTTAGAAAGGAGTCTTCCACATTCGTTCAAATATTCCGAGAGTGTTTCAAACTGAAATCCTAAAGTGCAACTGTTACCTCCAGAGACTGGGGCGTCTATGAATCTAGCTGCTTGCTTTTCGGCATTCGCTGCCAAGGTTTGAGACACGAACGGGTCTATCGTGCTGCTGTCAATGAAAAGTGTCTTCTCCCTCGCTGAACTGAAAGGTGACAAAAAAAAAAGAAGAACTGTAGGACGAGGCGGCGATTGAATCGTCGGTGGCTGTGGTATCGGTGTACCTCAGCAATCCGTGTTTTCCAGAGTACACGTCCAGAACGTGCTGATTGGATGGCAGCATCGAGACCACCGCCTCCGTCTCCTCTGCCACCTCCGCAGGGCTCGAGGCCCGATTCGCGCCTGCCTCCGTCAGATTCGACATGGCCGTTTCATTAACGTCGTAGACGGTCAATCTGCAACCCTGCAATCGCGCCAATTACCAAATGAAAAATCGACATTCCCAACAGTCCCATAACCGTGATTACCTTCTTCAACAGGTTCCTCGCCATGTGGCCACCCATGTTGCCCAAACCGACGAAGCCGACCCGCGAGAAGCTCCTGGCTCCTGAACGATCGAATAAAGCGTGTTAATTGTCTGTGATTAACGCTAGGTCGAACGAGGACATATCGATCGATTCAGGCTGTGATTAACGCTAAGTCTAAGCACCGAAAGCGATTCCCGTTTGTTGATCTTTAACCAGTTAGCTGTGGCGCCTCCTTTTCAGAGCGCGCACTTATTCAAGGTGTCCAAAAAATGTCTCGCAATCCGGAAGTCAGGCGTTCCTGAGGTCATTTGAAGTAACTTTTTTCTTAAAGAAAATGCAATCCGTGGCATTCTTTAACAAAAAAACAGCGACCAACGAGACGGCGAGCCAATGAGCGGAACTGGGCTTCGTGCGCTTCGACCTCGCCTCTTATTGGTCAGTTCAATTTAACCTTTATAATTCGTAAACAGAGCTGCTCATTATAGAAAAAGTTACTTCGAATGACCTCAGGAATCCTCATTTCCTCATCTCCATATTTTTGGGACACCCTGTATGTGGCGCGAGAATCAAGCAATGAATTGAATAAAAATGACGGTTTTATTTTATAAAATTAACAATTTTATTACCGATACTCACTTATCCACTTAACATTAATATATACTGCATAATAAACGCAAAACGGAGGAAAAATCGAATACTTGTAAAAGTTAAAAATTCAAGACTGGCACATAAATAAATTCGTTATGCGAACCGATAAGCTGTTTCAGTCAGTGCATACGAGAACGCACGAATTTAATTATTAATACTTTTTATTTCTTTGTTTCATTCTGATCTGGCCCCAAATATTCCAAACATCTTGAAATTTGCGAATCTGTTTTTGTTTTCGTTAAAATTACAATTTCACTAGTGCTCTAACAGTGTGTGCACAAATTGGTAAATCTGTTCGATCATTTCCTACATAAGAATCTATACAGGGTGTCCCAAAATTGTCTCGCAATCCGAAAGTGGCGGGTTCCTCAGGTCATTTGAAGCAACTTCTTCCTTTACAAAAATTTTCTCCGAGACACCGTTCACGAGTTATTAACGAAAAGCCGTGACCAATGAGAGGCGAGATCAGCTGCCGCGAGGTGGCCGAGCCAACAGCGCCAGCGGTCGAGCAGCGGTCGAATCCCAGCTCAGCGGGCGCGAGCCGGCCGAGCCAACGGCGCCAGCGGTCGAAGGCGGTCGAATCCCAGCTCGGCTGGCGCGAGGCGACCGAGCCAAGGAGCGGAACTGGGCTTCGTGCGCTGGTTGACTGGGCCGCCTCGCGTCAGCCGTACTCGATTCTTATTGGTCACTGTTTTTCGTTAATAACTCGTTAACGGTGCCTCGGAGAAAATTTTTGTAAAGGAAAAAGTTGCTTCAAATGATCCGAGGAACCCGCCATTTCCGGATTGCGAGACATTTTCGGGACACCCAACATCAATAATCCTAAAATAAAGAATGTGCAACCGTTCGAAATAACCGTCACGATAGGTTTAGCGTTAAACAAACGATTGAACAACTGCCGTAGATAATGCGTTAGTCAGTCGAGAGAATACGCGCACGGTTATATCTGACTAAATATATAAATAAATATCGTGAATTCATTGTTGAATCGGCACCTTTGAGAGCGACGAACGTGTTGCGATAAACGATTAGACTCATGACGGAAGATGCACGTTTGGAATGCGGTGGGTCCACGTCGCCCGGTATATTCTCGTCAAAGACGACACGCGCCCACGATCGGAAACCACTGTGGTAGATGCAACAACGTTCAAAGAGACACTTAGTGTGGTCCAGGAGGAGCAGAGAGATACACTGACCGGAATAATATTTGTCGATGGTGGCAAATTTATATCGTGCAGATAAATAGCGTCGACATTCTATGGACACAGTGTGTCGCGCGTCGCTCGTGTAACGTAATCGCGGCGGTGTCATCATGGTGCATACGTGACGAAAGAGCCCTTATCGGCTGTATCGGAACAATTTATATATTTTCGTGTAAACGATCTCGCGTTATCGGCATGGTAAACATCGCGCACAACAGTGTTACAATGTAGCTCTTTACCAGCCGGTCGAGCTGTTTGCTATTTGTAACGAGTCGCGACATAAAAAACGGCAGTATAAACGTGTCGTACTCGACTGTAATTGCAAGACATGATGTCTTGACTGCATTCGAGAGGGTTGATAAAGTCAACGCGGTTCCGTGCGTCGAACGTGTAGAATTCATCGATAGATCGGCATTATCGATAGCGGTATCTTTTGCAATGCTAACGACAAGTTTTAACACCCGGTTCGAGCTTTAGGTGAGATAAGCCTGACCGTCGTTGCTCGTTTAGGAAATAAGCGACAGCGATCGACGATCGTAAAGCGGTAACTTCTGCGAGGGTATGAATAAAACTCGTTCATTACAAGAGTAACGGTTAAGATAACGACGAGCCGAACAACGAGAAGCGAAACGCGCACCGCGAGTAGTCAATTCGAATTACTCGGCACGCGAATATGACGAGCGATGAAAGTATTAGGGTGTCCCATAAGTTCTCTCCTTTTGTCTGATGCGAAGTGATTACACGATATTTGTTGTTTAAGGTTGATTTATCGAATTATATATGAACCGTTCTACTCTATTACCTTCTTCCACCTTTCAGGAAGCCTCGTTATGCAGTCTTTCCAAGATTGTCGAGGATTATTTGCAAAATATTGTTCAAAGTGCGTTTTTATTTCGCTTACGAATTTAAACCGTTTTCACGGAGAGAATTTTTTAACGAGAAGAACAACTAATAATCGGATGGAGCAATGTCTGGGGAGTACGGAGGATGAGGTAGAACGTTCCAATCGAACTACAATCATTTTTGTCTTACGACCAACGCAACACGCGGTTTCGCGTTGTCGCGATGAAAAACGACGCCGCGTCGGTTCGCCAATTCTGGCCGTTTTTCTACTATGGCGGCTTTCAATTCATCGAGTTGATTACAATATTTAGCCGAATTGATCGTTTCACCTTGAGGAAGGAGCTCGTAGTAGACTACGCCTTTCCAGTCCCATCAAACGCACGAAAGAACTTTCTTCGGACGAAGTCCTGTCTTCGCAACAATTGAGGGACTATTTCCTTTTGACCAAGTTCGTTTTCGATGCACATTTTGGTATAAAATCCAAGTCTCGTCTCCAGTGACAAGCCTCTTTAGGAAAGGATTTCTTCCATGTCGTTGGAGAAGCAAATCGCACGTAGAGACGCGGTTCATAAGGCTGGTGTCAACACCTATCGACGGTGTGGAACTCCGAATCGATTCACATATCCCATCTCGATTAAATGCTTATGTACCGTTGTCCTGGGTATGTTAGTGGCATCAGCTATCTCGC